TTCCTCCAATAGAAGTGCCATTTGCAGGAATGACAGCCTGTCTCTTACAAATGCCAATTGTCGGTCTCTCTTATTCTGTGGTTACTGTTCAACTAACTGCTATTTTTCCTGTAGGATCGGTTTGGTTTGCTTCAGAAATGAAAGCCTTGAGTGATGATTGTGAAAGATTCATGTCATTTCTTCCTGGTCACATATATTCAAGCAAAACTGGTATGCTTTGAAGTTACAGGAATGAACATATGATTTACTTTGGACTCCTAATCTCGATAACTGTAAAATCAGTTTAGCTCTATTTGATTTACTCCTAGAGTATACCTTGTGAATTCATTGATGAAATTTATCGATCTCCATCGCTGATACGTTGAAAATTATGAATCTACTTTTATACAATAAAGATCATACTTTTAAGAAGCTATAAATATGAAATAAAAATGCGAAGGTTGTAAATTCTTGAGCGCATTGAAGAAATTAAATCACACTATTGTATTTAAATCATCCGTGTTGTCTGTTGAAGTTTTTTCTGTTATGAGTTAGTCAAAATTCGGCATAAAATTTTCCCCCATATGATTTAAAACCTTTATGATAGGCGTGCTACCAATTAGCTATTCCTCTGCTATATTTAGTGGGAAGTTGTAAAAAGAATGGAAGCGAAACTGTTGTGTTTATTCTGTTAAAAATTGGGAACTGTCTTCTTGGGTGTGTTAACAAGATGTTAATTAAACGTATACTTTATTCTGTTAAAACTGGGACTTTCTTCTTAGGTGGGTTAACAGGATTTTAACTAAACATCTACCAATGCATTATATAATTCTTTCTCTTGCCTGCAGTTATCTATAGTGTCATTTAAATTGCAAGGAATATTCAACATTACATTTCATATTCCATATTACGTTGACAGGAGAGCTCAGGAGATGGTACAATCCTCCATGGTACTCAGAACACATACCTTCAGCTCCTTATGATTCCCTAGTACTGCGAAAGGCCTTTGAGAAGGTTAGTTGAATGTTTCCTTACTGGGAGCAAAGACTTACAGTTGTTCGGTATTTGAGTGTAAAATTGTGCTTCTGTTGGTAAATCATAGTTCTACCTTTTGCTTCTTACTACTGTAGATTATTTCACAGATTAGAGATTTGAGTGTGATCTCTCCCACCCTTGTTCTTCTAATGTAACTCCTCGTATCATCATCTCTCTCTTGGACCTCTTCTTTTTCTTTCCTATGGTTTACTTCCTCATATTTATGCATCTTTTCCCCTGCTTCTTTGTTCTTTAACCGTTTCCCATCAATTATTCACTATTGTTTATGATCCCACTTCTCTTCTTCTCTTATTCAATTTTTTTTTCATCACTCAGCAATTAAACATATGAAGTAGGTTTTCTTGAACTCTGTGCTTGTCCAGTCTTGTAGCATAATTTTTATTTATTAGTGTCTTATAAGTCATTCTTATTCTTTGCTTATCTTAATTTTTTGTAGGCTGTCATTAAGAGATTTATGACAGATGTACCATTTGGTGTACTTTTATCTGGCGGATTGGATTCATCTCTTGTTGCTTCAGTGGCTTCCCGCTATATGAAGGACTCAGAGGCTGCCTGCCAGTGGGGGTCCCAGTTGCATACTTTTTGCATCGGCTTAAAGGTAATAATAGTTACCTCACTTGAACCCACCATTTTCGGTGTTCCCTTTTACATTTTATCACTGCCTGAAAGCATATTTGTTGCTTTATGTTATCTTGATCCTAAAATGACAATCATGTTTTACTTTTCCTATTCAAATTGATTTTTAGGAAGATATTTCTTGTCTCATATATAGTACGATTGTTTAAGTTAATCCTCTGGGTAGATAACCCATTATTCAATAGCCTTTTTCCCCCTAATATAGCCTTGCTCTAAATTTTATGCAGTTAAGTGAAAAGTGTTTCTTCCAATTCTTATCCATTTACTAGTCATAGTTACTTGAAGATTCTTATTTATTTCTGATAATGGTGCGGGCTTTGTCTAATCATAATGAACTTGGTTGTGTACAATAGTTTGTTGTTTTGCAACGATTATGACTTTTGATTAAATAAATGCTGATTAAATCTATATTACTAGTTAATCATTATTTATGATAATACTGTCTGGAAAGACAAATTTATTTTCTCAATAGGTTTGGTCTTGTTCTATTTCTTGGACTCGTTCCAAAACTCTGATTCTTGTACACCGTTCCTGTTCTACTTTATACACTGCTCCTTTCACTTTGCTCACTTGGGTTTTATCTTTCAGGGTTCTCCTGATTTGAAGGCTGCCAGAGAAGTAGCAGATTATCTGGGCACTCGGCACCATGAGTTTTATTTTACTGTGCAGGTAATTGTTTTCCTGGGAAAATAGATAAGCTTGTTGTCCATCACTCGAGGATCTCTTTTATATTATTATTTTGGTTGCTAAATCAGGAAGGAATAGATGCACTAGAGGAGGTCATCTACCATATCGAAACATATGATGTGACTACTATCCGAGCCAGTACTCCAATGTTTCTTATGTCTAGGAAAATAAAATCGTTGGGAGTCAAAATGGTTCTCTCCGGTGAAGGCTCTGATGAAATATTTGGTGGTTATTTGTATTTTCACAAAGCACCCAACAAGGAGGAGCTTCACCAAGAAACATGTAGCAAGGTACTGCTAATTGCAGCTTTATGAGTTGTGTTATATTTACTTGGTAACTTATGTTAAATAATTTTATAGTTCTGCTTTGTTTTGGAACCAGATAAAAGCTCTTCATCTTTACGACTGCTTGAGGGCTAACAAATCAACTTCGGCATGGGGTCTTGAAGCTCGGGTTCCCTTCTTAGACAAGGAATTTATTAATGTTGCAATGAGCATCGATCCAGAATGGAAAATGGTACAAGCCTATTGATCCTTTTTCTTTTCACCTATGCTAGTTAGCAATATCTCAAGGCATTTGTAGCTTCATGTTTATTTGTAGATTTAAGAAATACTGTCCTTGGGTCTACTTTTTGCTTCCTCTGAATATTAAGTAAGGAAAGTGTGCCAATAGTTGCAAGAGAAATTTGAATGTCATATTTGTCTTTGCTTCCCATAATTGATTATAAATGTGTGCATCATGAACATCTCTATCTATACCTAGCCTTCATATTTTGCATGTCATAAACTTTTATCCAACTCTCCACATTTGTTACTTTAATCTTTATATGTACTTGACTCACAATGTTATTCATATTGGCTCTGGTACGCCTGATGTATGACATCTTGGCAGCCATTCCTTGGATGGTTGCCGTGAATATTAGTGGTAATTATATTTTTACAAAAAGGAAATTGAAACACATGCCTTCCTTTTTTATCATTTATCAGCAGCTCGTAAACTAGAGCATTATTGTATGCCCAATTCTGTTGATATATTTTGACTTGGTATGATCAACCATGGCAGATAAGACCTGATCTTGGACGAATCGAGAAGTGGGTTCTTCGAAATGCTTTTGATGATGAACAGAATCCATATTTGCCAAAGGTTTGCTTCTTTTCCTGTTCATTTGATGGCGCTAAATTGCATTTAATTCCACTGTACTTTCTCCACATTTTCCCCGTTACTCCCATGAAAGAACCAGACATTTGCACCATGAGATCAGCTTGTTGACACATGCCTTCTTTTTTTAGCACATTTTGTACAGACAAAAAGAACAGTTCAGTGATGGAGTTGGGTACAGTTGGATCGATGGCTTAAAGGATCATGCTAACCAACAGGTAGAACAACCTCTTAAGTTTGTGCAAATTACCGAATTAGAAATCTTCTTCTGGAGCTTCTCGTTTGTTGTGATGCAATTTGATGATTAAGTTGCCTATTTTATACTCTACTGTCAGGTTACAGATGCGATGTTAGCCAATGCAAGTTTTGTCTACCCCGAGAATACTCCAACAACAAAAGAAGGGTATCATTACCGGACCATCTTCGAGCGCTTCTTCCCTAAGGTGGGCATTGCATATTGGTTTGCTTCTTCACTTGTTTCTGTACCTCTTTTTCCTTCTATGTGAAAGACAGGATCGGGGATTGGTGTGTGTTAGCTTGGAATTGCATGGCTGCTAAATAAGTTTAGTAAAGTTCTCAAGTTTTCTTGATTACAAAGATTGCATTTTAAAAAGTGAAAATTTGACTTGATGGGGCTGAATCGTGCGCAAAGTTCCATTTTGTCCGTTTTACTTTTGCTCTCTCTCTCACACGTCCTTGTGCACATATGCCCACACGCTCAACACTTTTGAAGCTTAAGTAATGAGATATATGTTTACTTAAGAGCGTCATTCTCAATATCTTCTCATCATTTTGAATAGAATGCTGCGAGGTCAACTGTTCCTGGGGGTCCAAGTGTGGCGTGTAGTACCGCAAAGGCTGTGGAATGGGACGCAGCATGGTCAAACAATCTTGATCCCTCTGGGCGAGCTGCCCTCGGTGTTCATGTTGCTGCATACGAGGAAACAAAGGAGGCAAAGGATGATTCCTTCTCCTCTCAGAAACTTCGAGTAGAGAAGAATGTAGTGACTATTTGATTGTTAGGTATATTTGTAGATGCACAACTTTAAAGTTATGGTTTGTTGTCAAAGTTGTTTCTACTCAATAATGCCAATCTCTACTCAAATTATTCTCTTATTTTGAAATTAGTTAATTTTTTCTGTATTTAACCAATGGCC